GTGCCTCCAGTGCTGCGTCAGTTTGTTGAAACATTTTAGTTGATATTCTGCCAATTCCTGGAGTCTTGTTTTTTGCTAGTGCAGCTTGGACATCTTCCTTCAATACCATTGGTTCTTGATCCCCTAAAGTGGTTGAATGTTGACCAATTATTTTTGGTACAGTGTCTGTGTGTAGTCCTTCCATCAGTGTATCCTGCATCATTCAATATTTTGTCCATTGTTCTTCTTAGGTGCTGTAGAGTCAGTTCCTACTCATAGTGACCCTATGCACAACAGAGTGAAACACTGTCCCATCCTACGCCATCCTCACAGTTGGTACACTTGAGTCCATTGCTGCTGCCACTGAGCTAATCCATCTCTTTTTTGTTGACCCTCCACTTTACTAAGCATGATGTCCTTCTCCAGGGACTGCATGCTCCTGATAATATGTCTGAAGTATGAGACACGAAGTCTTGCCATTCTGGCTTCTGAAAGAGCATTCTGGTTGTATTTTTTCTAACACAGATTTGTTTGTTATTCTGGCAGGCAATGGTACTTTTAATATTTTCCTCCAACATCATAACTCAATAGCATCGATTTTTCTACGATCTTCCTTATTCACTGTCCAACTTTTACATGTGTATGAGGTTATTAAAAATACCATGGCTTGGGTCAAGTGCACCTTAGTCCTCAAACTGACATCTTTGCTCTTCAGCACTTTAAAAAGGTCTTGTGCAACAGATTTGCTTAATGTAGTACATCATTTGATTTCTTGGCGGCTGCTTCCATGAGTATTGATAGTAGATCCAAGCAAATTGAAGTCTTTGACAACTTTAATCTTTTCTCCATTCATCATGATATTATTTATTGGTCCAGTGGTGAGGATTTTTGTTTTCTTTCCATTGAGATGCAACCCATACTGAAGGCTGCTGTGGTTTTTGATCTTCATAAGTAAATATTTTAATCTGATTTTGCCCACAGAAACCGTCAATATCTCAAGTTGAGGCTTGATATTTTTCTTCAGTTCTTTCAGTTTGAGAACTGCTGAGGATGTTCTTCCCTTTTGGTTTTCTCACGTCAAGTCTTTGCACATTTCATGATAGTACTTTACCTTGCCTTCTTGAGCTGCCCTTTGAAATTTTCTGTTTTACTTCCTCATTTCTTCCACTTAGCTTTAGTACTTTATGTTCAAGAGCAAGGATCATAGTCTTTTTCTGACATCCATTTTTGGTCTTTTTAATGACCATTAGTTTTCTTCGTGTATGATATTCTTGATGTCATCCCACAATATCTCTGGTCTTTGGTCATTTGTTTTCAATGTATCAAATCTGTTTCTGAGATGGTCTCTAAATCCAGCCCCATAGCGAAAGCAAAAGTTTCAGGGCTGACTCTGACTGATTGAGCTTGGGTCATGTGCTATTACTGCACCAATCACAGTGACCAGGAGAAAGCAATGCCTGATTGGCCAAGTGAGGTCTCATGCACATCATTGATGTCAAAGAGGTGGGCCAATACTTTGTAGATCCAGTGACTAGGGTGAGTGTGGGGACTAGGTCAAGGAGTCCTTAACAGGGGTCAATTCTGCTCCCATCCAAGGGACACTTGCAATGTCTGGAGACATAACAGGACAGGCCCTCAAGGTCACTTCCCTGACCATCTAGTTGTGCAAATCAGCAAATGGAGACCAAGGAGGAGTTGTGTTCCACCCAAAGTCAACCCGGCCTATGGCAGAGTGAACCGAATGTCCTGTGAGGGAAGAGACTATGGCAGCAGGGGTAGCGCTCTGCTCAGGACAGAACTGGACTGCAGGGGAGGGCAGGGGAGGGCAGGCCATGAGTCATAGAGGCCAAAGGGCTCTAGATCTGGAAGGCCTGTGTTTGTTTGTGTGTGTGCGCATGACTGTGTATGTGTGTTAAAATACATAACAAATTTACCACTTTAAAGAGCACAATTCAGTGGTATTTAGTTCCTTCACAAGATTATACAACCACCACCCCTATCTGGTTGAGAAGGTTTGCATCCCTTCAAAAGGAGACCCTGTGTCCATTAGCGGTTGCTTCCCAGGCTCCATGAGTCTGCCTTCTTTCCTCTATAGATCTGCCTCTTCTGGATAGTTTGTATCAATGGAACCACATTTTATGTGGCCTTTTGTTGCTGGCTTCTTGCAATCAGGATGATGTTTTTAAGGTTCATTCAGTGTCTCAGTGCTTCATCCTTTCATCTCTCATACTTTGGATGTATTGTCAGGAGGGAGCAGTCCCTGGAGAAGGACATCAGGTAAAGTGGAAGGTCAGAGAGGAAAAGAAAGACCCCCAACAAAATGGATTGGCACGGTAGGCTCAAACGTAGCAATGATTGTGAGTTTGGCACAAGACAGGGCAATGTTTCTGTTAGGCATAGGATTGCTATGAATTGGTACCGACTCGACCCCTAACAACAATATTCCATTGTGGATGGATCACATTGTTGGTGGACCTTTGGGTTGTTTCCACCTTTTTGCTTGTAAAAAGTACTGCAATCAATTTGAGTCCCTGCTTTGAGTTCTCTTGGGTAAATGCTTAGGCATGGAATTGCTGCATCATATGGTAATTCTATATGGAGCTCTGGTAGCATAGTTGTTATGAATTGGGCTGCGAGCCACAAGGTCAGCAGTTCGAAACTACCAGCTGTTCATCGGGAGAAAGATGCGGCTTTCTGCTCCTGTAAAGATTTATAGCCTTGGAAACCCTGTGCAGGGTCACTATGAGTCAGTACCGACTCCATAGTACTTAACAACAACAAACATGGTAATTCTATGCTGAACTTTGTGAGGAACCACCAAATTGTTTTCTAATGCAGTAGCACCATTTTACATTCCCACCGACAAATTAATATTCAAATATTCCCACATTCTCGCCAACACTTGCTACTGTCGAACTGTTGGATTTTAGTCACTCCAGATCTTTGAATGGTACAAACAATTTGCTTAACCTAAAGGTTGGTATCATCTGAGATATGCAGATGATACAACCTTGCTTGCTGAAAGTGAAAGGGACTTCAAATATTTACTGATGAAGATCAAAGACCACAGCTTTATGTATGGATTACAACTCAATGTAAAGAAAACAAAAATCCTCACCACTGGAC